AATTCTATAATAAATCTCCAACTGCAGGATATCTACCAACCGTCAGATGTGGTACAAGGCCGAATTTAATGTGGGTTATCCGAGCCCGTGTGCTCGGCCAAAAATTCCCCGTAGACCCCATATAAAACTGGGTCAGGTAGCTGTTTCCCGAGACGAGACACTGCCCTTCGACATAGCTTCGTCTGGGTATCCTATTTGCCCGGAGACAGAGAGTTTGACCATCACAGCTGGAGACGAATCTCCAACTGCAGACCAACATACAGTATTTACTATTGTATTTATGCGAAAGGGGACATACCCATTATCGTCTATAGTTATGCTACAAAAAATCATGTTGATTTTAAATAGAGTTGTAATTTTTAACGAGAGTAAATAGATATATAATGTGGTCAACGGCGTAGCAGTACATTTGCTAATTTTATACCTCGTGTATGATGTGACCCTCTTAAAATTACCTTATTAGATCTTCAAAAGTCCCAAGATACGCGATTATATACGGTACTCACAAAATAAATTTATTTGTTAACTACATAGTCGCCATTCTTTTAATAACTGTCGCCCATCTTTCTAAAAGCCTGTTGCTGCCATTTTCGTAGGAACTTCATGTTTTTTCTTGGAAGAATAATGTCAGGGAGCTTGCGACTGACTGTATTGAGTTAAATTTTTTGTCATTTAAATTTTTCTATAGAGACCAGAACAAATGAAATACGAAAGAGACAAGTCAAGAGAATACAATCGTTGCTGGAGGGTTTCCCATTTGAACTCTTTTCGCTTCTGCAAGGTTTATTTTCGCAACGTGTTGTCTCGCGTTGTCATGGTGAAAAACGCCAATTTTTCTATTTGCCAAAATCGGCCGTTTTTCTTGAACCCAAGTCTCTTCAAATGGCGAAATGCAGTTGAGATATCGATTTTCAAACTCTTAGCTAACTCTTCCGTCGAAATCTTCGGTTTATTCTCCACAATGGCAAGCAGAACGTCTTCATCGACGTCGAATAGTCTCTCGTAGCGTGGGACATCGCTTAGGTTAAAATCACCCTGACGAAATCTGTCAAAGAACTTTTAAATCGTCTATCGGCCAGAATATTCGACAAAAATATGCACTCCTTGGCAAGAAAACACCTCTTTAATAAGATTTCTCGAAGATTCAGGCAGGTAGCACAAAATAAATAAATATACTGTTTAATAAATTAACGGATAGTCTACTCAAAATATATATATATATATATATATATATATATATATATATATATATATATATATATATATATATATTATAATTTTTATATGGACAAAACAATTTACCCACTACAAAGACGCAACTTCGTTTCGGTGCATTTAATTGCACTTCGACTGGTGAGAACCAAAATCGTTTATGCACTGAAACGAAGTTGCATCTTTGTAGTGATTAAATTGTTTTTGTCTAAATGAAAAATTATAAATAATTATTGCTCTACTATTGGTATTGAGCACTTTTTTGAATTAATGCTGTGAGCGTTAGAACTTATATAATTTTAGATCAAGAAAATTTTAGAGGGAGGACGTATGACAAATGAAAACGATTCCGTATGAAGCGTTTCAGCCTTTGGGACTTCATCAGACTAAGTCTATGTTTATGTTGATACCACTACACATCCATACGAACTAGAATCGCTAGAAATTGTTAAACTAAAATAATTTCTTTTGTTAATATGCGTTTTGGACATAAAGGGTGCAACGGAGAAATTGTCGTCTAAATGATGCAAAAATAAAAACAACACTGACATCTCATTTTAACAGATATATTTACCAAAATTGCACAAAAAGACCTTGAAATACTAAAGATTAAATTTATTCAATAGAATCAGCATTAGCTTCAACCATGACTTCCAGACAAGTTTGGGATCTCCTACAAGTCTTTTACATATATATTAGGTTGGTGCAAAAATAATGACGTAATAATGTCGTTTTTTGACGTATTTTTAACGTCAAAAAACGACATTCTTGCGTCATTATTTTGCACCAACCTAATACTTCTTTTTCTTATGTAGCTGAGTGGTTAGAACACTCGGATTCTGACAATGAGACCCGGGTTCGAATCTCACCATGGTCGATTTGTCAGGATTCGAGGCGTCGATTTGTTGTGTTGTATTTAAGATGGAATGATCTATTATAACATGTCTCTAATTTGTATTTAGATACATTGTATTTATTTTCATTTTTTTTTTTTAGCTGAACTCTTCACCTGTATTGCATATGATCCAATATTGTACATAATTACGTTAAAGCAATTTGTATTTTATATGAAAACTACCTTGTGAAATATGAGATGTAGTAGAGTGGGGGGTGGAGGGCGTATCATAGGGGGCACGAGTCTTTTGCACCACCCCAATCTATGTCCACACTGCTTATATAACCAGCGTTTGTATATTTCCTTTTTTACAATACTTATTAATACAGTGTAACCCGGATATAAGAGAGTTGGCGGGACCGGAGAAGTCTCTTATATCCGGGTTTCTCTTATATCCGGGTTTTGTCTATTTTATAAACATTAGCACAGGCTCTAATTTGGGATCAGAGAAAATCTCTCTTATATCCGGGTTTCTCTTATATCCGGGTTACACTGTAACTCTTTACATGTAAATTAAATGGAAGCCAGTCGTTTTTAACTGCATAATTTCTAACTTGCTTAAAGATGGATTAACGTCGAGGGTTCAGTGTCAGACGACATTATTTTTTATTAAAAACAAAATAAAGAATCTTTTATCCAGCGGCATTAAAATCTGCAATCGGAAAATAAGTGTTAGTTGAATTTCGTGTCTTCAAAGAAAGAATCACGTTGATTAAAATCTTGCTATGCCGTTGATCGGTGATGTAATAAAAGCGTTGGCTCATTGTAAATAGTGTCAAATATCCACTAACCCTCACTCTAACAAAAGCTCCATTATGGCGGACAGAAACCCCCTTGCCATTCACTAGGACCTCGAAGGCTGGCCTTTTTGCTGCTTTTTCCATTACCAGATTAAAAACAAGCTACCAGTTTCGTTTAAAGGTCGCTATGCTTCTTCTTTTTATTTTTGATGTGTACAAAGCCTTGACAGATCGATTTTTTTCCAGAAATCTCATTCACCTCTTTATTTTTCCTTTCTAGTTTCCCCACTTCATATTTTCCTTTCTTTCTTTTCTTCATTTCTTCCTTCCTTTTTATGGACTTTCAATAATTATCCTTTTTTGAAATTATTTTTAAACTTCCTCTTTTTTCCATTATTTCCTCTCTCTCTCTATTTATCTTTTCTTTCTGCATACCTTCATATTTTTCATCCTTTTTTCTCCTGATTATTTTTCTTCGGTCTCCCTTCGTTTTTTCGTCATTTTTTTATTTATCTTTCTTTGTTTTTTCTTTATCCTCTCGCTTAAATTTATATTATAGGGTTTTCGATAACGTAGTAGGAATTTTTTGCGAGTCTGTCTTTTGAAACCAGCTCTGGTCTTTTGTACCACCATTTTATCCTATAGACAATTATTATAAGTATTGAAATTTGGCTGTCGGCTGGTTGCATTATGTTAGACATTTCCATGACGGTCGTCCTTGAGTATTGAATCTAGGGGTTGGCAGTGAATATTTCGGAGACAGTAGGAAAGCGTACTTTAGGTTCGCAGTGGATATCACAGCAGAGTGTAGTTCATCCTTCTCCTGGTCGCCTTTTGTCCTTCTGGTAGGAGGAAACAAGATGGCCGCCTTTATACACTACGAATACAGTGTTGGGCGGCTTCTGATTGGTCAACCTTCTACTGGTCGACTATAAAGGGAAATAAGTCATTCTGACTCGCTCACTAGTTATATACGGTATATACCCAAAAAACCGTAACACATTTTTCTTATTTTCTATATATATACATATATTTCTGTATGATTAGAAAGCAAATATTCTTTAAGGTAAATGAAAAGGGGGCGTCTATTTTAAATAAGAATTGTCAATTTTAATAACGTTATCTCCTTCATCTCTTTGTGTTTTTGTCTCCTTTCTAGTTTCCTCACTTCATATTTTCTCTTTTCCTTCCTTCCTTCCTTCCTTCCTTCTTTCCTTCCTTCCTTCCTTTCCTTACTTCTTTTCTTCCTTCTTTTTTATAAACTTTCAATAATTATACTTTTTTGAAATTATCTTTAAACTGCCTCTTTTTTTCACCTATTTCCTCTCTCTTTATTTATTTATTTATCTTTATTTATTTATCTTTTCTTTCTGCATACCTTCATATTTTTCATTTTTTTTTCTCCTTATTATTTTTCTTGGATCTCCCTTCGTTTTTTTTCCTTCTTTTTTTCATCTATCTTTCCTTGTTTTTTTCTTTGTCCTCTCGCTTTCACATATTGTTCTAATATCTTTCATTTTTTTTAAAAAAACAAAATTCACTCTTTCTTGCTACGTTTGTTATCTCTTTATATTAACAGTCTGCAAGAACAGGCATTTTTTTTTTAAAGCGACAATATGACTGCAAAATCAGCTGTGTATATTTTTTCGGAATTAAGATATCATCTTTCTGGATTCTCGATTTATGATACATACCAAAAACTAATAGATAAATACAAGCTATCTGTTTCTCTATCGATGTGAAAAGATTTTGATAAACAATCCAGCTAAAGTGCTTTTTATTATCACAGACAGTGCCAATCTCTGGGTTTGTTTTATCTAAAACTAGCTTAAATATCCGCACGGAATGACATTTTTAAGCTAGCTCTTGTGGGGGAGCTAATTGAGTCTCCGGATCAAAACAAGAACCTCTGCAGTGTGGGTGTAGATTCATGCCTTTCGCAAGGTTCTTTGCGCGTAACTGAATATGACGAACCCTACTGGAATTCCGAGCCGTCATCTATTAAACTACACTCACTTTCACGCACCTGGTATTAACAAGCGGTAACCCATCCAGGTACTTACCAGGCTCGACGTTGCTTAACTCCGGTAATCGTGCCAGAACCGTTGTTTCAACGTGATATGGCCGTAAGCCATACCAGTTGAACATCGAAGCTTACAGCACCTGGTATTCCCTGTCAGTCACCCATCTAGGTACTGACCAAGCTCAACGTTGCTTAACTTCGGTAATCATACGAGAACTGGTGTTTCAACGTGATATGTCCGTAATCCAGTTTGAGCCACTTTTTCGAGTTGAGCTACTGATCCCAAATAGAACAAATGAAGTTAACAATCTTATGTGAATTCTTTCAAATTAAATAAAAGAGTTTAATATTCCACCAGAAAACAGGCATTACACTATCAATTTATCATTTACTCCTATTAGAGGCAAAGCCCAAGATACGAGCCACGAATTCGGGATGTACCGCAATTTAATATCCTTAGAAAAGTTTTTAACAGACGATGTAAATTGTGGCACAGAAATTCGAGCATACAATGGAATAGCAGAAGAGGCATTCGAAAAGCTAAGCAAAGTATTGAGAAACAGGCAAAAATTATTAGAAACAAAAAAAGTGTGCTGAACTGCTATGCTCTATGGATACTCCGATATGGCAATGAATGATGGACAATTTACTCATAGATGAAGAACAGACCTGTCCCAACAGAAAAGTATGTCTACAGATGCCTGCTTAAGATATCAACGTAAGAACATGTGAGCAACGATGAATAGGTTGAAATAAAATGGAAATGAAAATAATACTTTTAGAATCAGAAAGTGACATTTGAAATCTCTGAGAAATATAATAATGAAAGAAGTATTGAAGGCAATTTGGTACTCACAGGAGATATTGAAGGCAATTTGGTACTCACAGGAGATATTGAAGGCAATTTGGTCCTCACCGTACATATTGAAGGCAATTTGGTACTCACAGGAGATATTGAAGGCAATTTGGTACTCACCGTACATATTGAAGGCAATTTGGAACTCACTGGAGATATTGAAGGCAATTTGGTACTCATAGGAGATATTGAAGGCAATTTGGTACTCACAGGAGATATTGAAGGTAATTTGGTACTCACAGGAGATATTGAAGGCAATTTGGTACTCACAGGAGATATTGAAGGCAATTTGTTACTCACAGGAGATATTGAAGGCAATTTGGTACTCACAGGAGATATTGAAGGCAATTTGGTACTCACCGTACATATTGAAGGCAATTTGGTACACGCCGTACATATTGAAGGCAATTTGGTCCTCACCGGACATATTGAAGGCAATAGAAAAGCGAGTAAGCGACCTAATGATTTTATTTTGAATAAATAACCGAACAATAGTTGAAAATTGAAAGGAAAACAAAAATGATTAGATTTACGAAGGATAAGATGTGGTGAGCCATGGCCTTCCATGTCTTGAAACAACACTACATAAAAAAAAACAATATTATGAATTCTATCAACTATGTGTTTTATTGGGAAGGGGTCAATTACAAAGTTCATTTTCGAAACCAAAGCAGTTTTAAAATTTCATTCTACGCTCAAGTTACAAATGCTATTGTTTAAACTGAAATCTTTGCTGCATTTTTTTATTTATCGAAAGATAATAAAACTTACACAAAAACACGCTTTTCAATTTTCACGACGAAGACAATTCATACGCGTAAAAAGATTTGTTTGAAAAAGTTGACAATGTTTCGATAGCAGAAACAATGGCGACTTTCATACAATGCTTAATGAAATCTACTGCGCAACAGCGAAGATAATACAGGCATTAGAATTTCAAAAGTCTTCCATTTACTAATTTTTTTTGTTTGAATCTAAAACACTGGAAAAGATATCGCGACAAATGAGAAAACTTCTCAAACATTTCAGAGCGTCAATTACTCAATCAACTCTCATCAAACAATTGTTCTTGTACATGTGATTCTGAAATCAACTGTCATTTTTTTTTATTGAAATGGTTCTGTTAGCTTTTTTTGTGGGCGCCACTTTTGAGATTATTCTTGTAAAACAACAAATTGCCAATGTTTCTTATTTCTTTTGCTTTCGAGAATGTCGGTATCGAGCATGTCAATAACTGAGTGAATAATTGTGGAAATATCTTCGATTTTGTTGAGAAAAAAGAACACAAATTAATAATCTTCAACTCGAGCAAGCGTCCTAAATTGAAATTATTTTCAAGAATTTGTCCCCCAAGAAATAAAAAGGGCGTAGTTCCGTTCATCTTAAGTTACTGTGACGCTCGAAAACTTGACATTTATCTCACTGGATGTGATTTTGAATTCCACTCGGATCCATTACATTTACTTACGTGAAAGGCATGAACCCTCTACTTTTCCCCTAGCTATGGGTAAATAGTAGGAGAGACCAGGTTCTATAGCCGTGAGTGGCAGCCAGTCTGGGAGAAGAAAAGTCTGAATTCAAAACCGGCTTGGAGAGGGTTGGGCTCCGTCAGGCTCTCTTGCTCAAGAAACATCAGTTCTACTGAGGCTGCAGTACATGTGGGGCCTTTATATTTCTAATGAGTTATGGGTTTCACGATCGTGAGATCGATGTGACTTTATTTGCTGTTCAAAAGTTTATCTTTCCACTGAAGGTGACTCCCATCCCTGTAGAATGATGTGTTTGAATTTAAAAGTTGTGTTATCATATCCTGCTATGGCAACAGAAGAAGACTTTGAGTGAAATTAACAATAAGGATACTGCGATTGAGAGGCCTTGAAAAAGAATGTACTGGAAAGGGATTTAATCTTAACAATGGAGAGTGCTAAATTCGATATATCATGTAAACAAAAAAAATGAGGAATTGCCATTAACTTCATTAAACATTATATTTACCATTTTTCTTCCATTACTTTTTGCCATATTTTATGCAACTTCCTAATTCCAACCTTAATGAACCTTACCTTAAAGATCTGCTCTCCTTGCGTTTAAGAATCTTCCAAAATCTGTTTTGATTAGATCCGTAAAGGCAGGAGTATTTGATAAATCGATAGTGCTGTATCTGTTTTCTGATGGAATTTTCCACTCTTTTATTTAATTTCGAAGAATTCACATAGATTGCTGACTTCATTTGTTCTAATTGGGATTAGTACCTCGACTCAGTCATCTTGTCAAACTAGAGGGCGTCCTTTCAGTCTACAAATGGACGCAGCAGTCCTTTATGAATATTCCCTTCGTCCAATGAAATTTAAAATTTCCTTAATTTTATCTAAACAAAAAAATCTTTTCTTAAGTTTTAAAGATTGTGTTTCATGATATAATTTCTCATTTTGAACAAAGTTAACATATTAAATATAGGTCAAAGTCAGCTCATGTCGAGACGAATTTGAAAAAAATTCATCTTTCTTTACTATTCATTACCCTATCCCACCCCCTAATTGATTCCTTTCCTTTCTCTCTTTTTCTCTCGCTTTATCTTTCTATTCGTCTTCCCATTTTAAATACATTTTCTCTTAGTGGTGAATTTCCCTCCTATTTGCAAAAACATTATGATACATTTTTTTTATCTAACTCCTTGGTGTTGAAAAGCCCGTTCGGGGCGAAATGGCCATATGTCATATGGGGTATTGAATTTTGTCTACATGTAATATATATATATATATATATATATATATATATATATATATTCGTTGATAAGCTGTAAAAAACAAGTTAAATCAAATCATTACTCATCGCCCTGGGCACTACGCAACAACACAATCGAAACGTGCGTCGTTTCATTTACAGTGTCCGATGGATAAATTGTCGTCTTCATAACGAAAAAATAAAAATAATGCTGACGTCTTATTTTAACAGATATATTCACCTAACTTAAACAAAAAATATTTTGAAATAGTAAAGAGTAAATTCATTTAATAAAAAACGCTTTTGGCGTCAACCTAGACGGCTTCGGATTCTCTTGCACCTCTTCTGGATGGTCGCCTTGTTTCAGTTGGTGAATGCTGCCATAATCCTTGGCTTTAATTCATCTTTGGTGTTACAAAGATTGTTTGGTCTCTCGCTCAACTGCACACCACATATCAAGGGGATTGCGGTCTGTCGAATTAGGTGGCCGTTTGTAAGGAGTGATGTGGTAGCAGCAATTGTCAGACAGCCATGACTGGCTTCTCTTGGTTGTATGGCATGGTGCAGAGTCCTGTTGCCGGATAATGTTTCTTCCAGCAGGCATTTTTTGACACCAGTACTTCCTCAAGGAACTTGATACAGGCCTCCATACTTGAGTTTGAGTACCTGCGTGAAAATGAATGTAGGAATAACTTCCCTATCACTAGTGATCACGCCAAACACCTTCGTAATCACCATTAGATTCATAGATCTCTTTCCGAATCCTCCGCACTGTTCTTAGATTGACATCAAAACACTCTGAAATATTCGTATTGGAGCTTCCGGTGTGAATACAAAGCAGTACTGTATGCCGTTTCAAAATTTCTGGCAGAGTGAATTGCGTCATGGTGCTCTTTTTCACACTGACGGTGCCCAACTGACCCTACTGTACTGTGCATTCGACACAATCAAAAAGCAACAACGCGCATGCGCGAAATGAAGAATATAAAATAGCAACAATTTACCCATCGTACATTGTATATAATACCTGTCTGACAAGGTCATCTAGTTTCTATGCCGGCTAAAATAGAACATAGTAATCCCATTAAATATTAAAACGTTGATAAACTGATTCCTCTCTACTATTCATCTCAACTAAGCGACTACTCCTTTCCTATAATTTACTATACCGTGAAGAGTTAACTTAGTTTAGCGTCGGACATGTGCGCAGTAATTTTTTTTTTTTTACTTTCCATCAAAGGAAATAGTGCGCGCTTGATGCATTGCTTTCATGACTGATCGTGTACGCATGCAACTTTGAAATGTCATCTGCTGCCTGTGTTTAATACGCTGTTGCAGTAGCGATAAAAAGGTGCGAAACAGTTGGGATTGGTTGGTAATACGAAGCCGTTGCATACCCAAAGCGATGAGCGTTTTTTACTATCTTTATCGTAGAAGTTGTCGAAATCCACCCACCCCGCTTATAAATGAACCAGCACCGATTGCCTTTTCATCTTTAATGTTTTCAGCACGTAAGAAACTTTACCAAGAAATACAAAGAATTATTCTATAGATATCTGTCTATATTTCTGAGATGGGGTACTGTAACTATTTACACTGTTTACATTGTTCGGACTGTTGTCCTCATTTTGTCATCATATTCACGACGTTTCGACCGTTGTAA